GATGAAACGATATGACACCATATAAACGCATTGCTAAGTATCATTGAAAGACATTCTCGGTTACCATGGCACGTGGATAATGAATTTTGGAAAATATTGGAATCGAGCTCAAAAACGGTTAAATATATATAACTCATAAGACCTGCATGATTACTAAAGGACGGATGAGATCGCACAAAGTACTTCGAAACTTGAACAAGGCTGTTTGCCTCATGCCTATCTGCTACCTTTCCATATACTTGTAAATATCGGATGGGAGATCCAAATGAGTATACTTCAGTGCAATCGTTATGGCCTCGAGGCTTACTTGGTAGTGCTTATACCGCCGGAAAATGCAAACGTTGTAAATGTGTGGTTTCAAATCACACCGAGGTTAGTGAATCTTCTACAGTCCACACGTAGGAGATAAGTTACGCTAAAATTAGTGCAGGAGCGAATGTTACTGGGATTCAACACTGCTGTATCGACTCCAGAGAGTGTGTCTTAAACAATTTGATGAGTAGAGAAGGAATTTCGAAGAAATTATCGGTATCACATGAGTTTGCCTAATACCTGTAGGCATTTACATAAAAAGAACTCACCAACTACGGTGATTTGTGTATTGTATTGTGTATAACATTTGCAAGCACTGGAGCTCTCATGTCAGTTAAAAGATCATGCACGCTAACCGTCACAATGTACCTAATCAACGGGGAGAAAAGTTTTCGCAGACATGGGGACATTTCATAATCCAAAGTTCACTTATTGTTCACTCTTTGTTTATGAGTAGACGAGCAAGGTACGGTGTGGGTAAATTGCGGTATGCGTTAATTCAAGATGAAATTTGACGGAATAGGGAGCGTGTTGAATGATGGGAATGACAAAGTGTCATTTCCGCATGCAGTGGGTGGTCAGGATCTGTTAGAATCTTCTCTGAAAAATCCACACAGGAAGTTACGCAATACTAAGAACGCTTTACAGCTAATTTATTCACAGGAATAGAATAGACACGACTAATAATGGTTAGACCGCCGCGTAAGACATTACAGTCCTGTTTGAGTAAGCCAGGAAAAATACGTGGGGAATGGTTGAGTAAGATGGGAAAACACACTGATAACACAGGTATAAACAACTGAATGGGATGTGCAAAAGTGTCTGAGCTTTCGTATTTGCTTACCCATGCAGTTGTGGATGTTGGTTGACCAATGAAGATTGCTATCTATGGTTACACCAAGATATTTGACAGAATTCACCCTGGATAAAGGATTGTTATTAATCACTGTAGGGTCTGTCGGATATGGCGAGCGAGAAAAACTGTATAAACACTGAACACATTTACTGGGGTTCAGGGTTAGCCCTGATGAGGAGAAGAATGACTGAATTTGATCAAGATTATCGGTAAAAGAGCTTAGATCAGAGTAAGAAGATATGGGTTGGCACAACACGATATCATCTGCATATTTCAAAATACGTGCGGGAGAAACACGGTGAATATCACAAATATAAGTGGAAAATAAGTATGGGGATAGCACAGCTCCTTGAAGGACCCCGGAGTTGTCTATGTGGTATTCCTGAATCTAGTGGTTTGTACCCTATCTGTAAAATAGTTGGATAGCCAAGCTAACAACTGCTCGGGACATTTAAATGATTCCAGGTTTTGCAACAACTTAGATCGAGGAATGGAATCAAATACAGAAGAGTAGTTTGGGAAAACAGAGCTGTTCAAATGGTTAGTGACGAAATGGATGAGGGTGGAAACTGCGTCCAAGGTCGATCCATAAAGGCTTGAAAGCAACTGTAACGATTACTGGGAATGTTTATAGATTGCTGAAGGCGTTTGAGGATGGACTTTCCTGTCAACTTAGGAGCTGAAGATGTTAACGCTATGGGACGAAAATATTTGGAAAGGATGCGTTGGGGATTGAATTGATTGTGACCGGCCTCCAACAGTCGGGGATGGTAGAAGTGTGAAGAGCTAATTGTCCCGCAAGGTGGGCAGCACCAAATTTGACGAGGGTTGGATGTAAGTCATCCGGGCCTGAAACAGAAGACGCGTTGCAACTTTCTAAAAGTTTTAACACATCACAATATAAGAGTGGTTCCACTTTTCAAACATTTTGTGACGAGTAATTAGGAAGGACGTCCGATGACCTGCGAAGGAATATGGCATTGAGATCATCCGCGTCCATATCCCACTTCGATCGTACGTTCTTCCTTCCACAGATAAGGCTTATACCTTGACACAAGTGTTTGCTGTTTCCAGTCCTCAGAATTCGATCCGAGAATAATGCATTCAATCTATTTACTTCAGCTTTGATAAGCCTGGACAAATACCTAACAGTTGAAACATTGTGAGACTTGGACGAACGTTCCTTTTGTCGTCCCAGCGACTTTGGTAGGGGAAAGTTTATCCTTCAGTTGGACACATATAGGCTTTGAACAGGGCAACAGTAACTATGAATGGCATTGATTGAGTGAGTGAAAAGGGGGACACATGTGAACAGAGAATATGGCGCTGATGAAAACCATCGGGAGGCCGGTCTGAGAGATTCATTCAGGAGAGAAACAGGTGTAGATGAGAAGTTACGCAAACGTCATCTGATATGTGCTCAGATCGCGAGAAAGATGTGTTTGCACTGTGTGAATAAACTTTAGGTCGAACTAAGAGTAAGCAATGGTCACTGGAGAAAATGGGTACTGTTACTGCTGAATACAAAAGGGTTGGTTGGTTGGTAATTACTCTGTCCAGTATAGAGTTACCTCTTGTGGAAGAGTGACAGAGATCTCTCATATTTAATCATAAAAGAGGATAAGTGCTAGTATGGTTGGAGTCAGCAACGATTACGTGCAGGTTAACATCTAAACGTGGGGTAATAATAGGTATGAACGAGTCGAGAAATGACATACGATGTGACTGTGTACAGGAGGGAGCTATACACAAGTTAGTCAAATTGTGTGAGTTGAACGGGAAAATCTAGTGTGACAATGTACAGTTAGATACTGGATACTGGATACTGGATACTGATAAGCAACATGGGACTTCCACACCAGGAAACGCTGACATATGTGGCAACACCCCTCCGGTGATTTTTTCTTCCGTTCCACGATCCTGTCGGTATACTTGAAAATCGTCTATTACCACTATAGATTTATCTACGTGATTATTCAACCAGGATTCTTGAACACAGACTGCAGACGCGTTCGTATGAATTCTCGATCGGTAGCCATTCGTTAAATCCGACATTTCGAGAAACAGGGACCGATTGTTGCTGCTGACCAATGAGAGGGCAGTCATCGTTGACAGATCGGTACATTCAAGGCCGGAAACACCCCAAATGTTTAAATATTTTTACAGGAGGCTCTCATCCCTGTCTTTGGTCTGAAACACCGTGCTGTAAACAGTTGCTAATACCCAATGGTCGATATCAATAAAAGTAGCCTATTAGATAAATCTATGACCCTGAAAACACTCGGTATCCTTGAGTCTGTCAATTCCTTGTATTTCCGATCGTGACTTCGACATTGAGCTGGTTTCCTGCGGTCTACGGCAGCTTGCCTCAATATTTAAGGCGCTATGGATCAGCAACTAGTTTCCAATCGCGTTCAGGCTTATACCGCAATTATAAAAAAATCTCATTTGCACTCTCAGTTAGTATTCCCGTTGGTAAACTCGACGTTCTATCTCATCCACGACTTATCCTCGCGGTATTTTGACCTATTATTTTCCTCGGAAAAGAGTGAACCTGAAAAATCCCTAAAACTTCATTCAGAAGACTGATTTCAAGTTGCTGGTAGAACACTTTTGGCTCTTATAGGTGTCCTCATATTTTTCCTGAGAGTGCAAAGAAGTGGATAAGCAACCAAATCACAGTATATGTCTCCCAATGACAGTCATTCTAAGTATAAGAAAATAACTTACTATATACATATTGATTGTGTTGCAGATGAGAACACCGATTTTCCGAGTAATGACAATATTGCGTCGAAAATCATTTCATCAGTTTTAAGTAAGTAACTCGACGAACAGACTATAATGCAGGAATTTGAGTTACAAGCTATTGAACTGGAAGCTCATAGAAAAAGGATGTTACTTAAGGCCCATAGAAACTCGGAAGAAGCGCGGCTTTCAGTAGCAGCTGAGGAGAAGAGGGAGAGAAGACCGACTGACTCCTGTGAGATTGATAAACTATCTACTATCAGTGACTATGTCAAAGATTGTCAGTCAAAGTGGCGTCCGCCAGAACAGTTACACTAGGAGTATCCGGCGTCGAAGATCAATGAATGAGGAGAAAATCCGTTCCGACCGGGGATTGAAGGGATGGAGTAACCCAAGGTGGAGCGCCCTTCTGCTGATGGCGACCCAAGGCAATATTGGATGTTCATACGTCAATTCCAAACGTATTTTGAGGGTGCACAAAGGGTTACGCAAAACCGTCGATTCGAGAGTGCATTATGCTACCACGAAGGGAAGGTTACACCCGGGCAAGAAGGATTTTACATAAGCTTTTCGGTCAAACACATAAGGTGGTAAGGTATCTGTTGAATGAGCCGCTGCTTGAAGGGAGACCAGTAGCCAACCAAGGCGATGCTCTCGTTGATCTATCCATACGCATGGAAAATTGTTCCATCGCCCTTTCGCAAATGGATTACGAAGCGGAATTGAATTCCTTGGTCACATTAGAACGTATCGTCAAATCCTTACCAAGGAATTTACAGCACAAATGGGCAGAGTTTGCAGACAAGACAACGGGTGACGATAGACCCCCAGCATTTGCTGATTTACAAGCCTTTGTCGAAACTCGGGCAAGGATAGCACGGAGTCATTTTGGTCACATTGCAGAAGAACGAGAAAGGCTTGTGCGCGGGCTGAAACGTACCCCTGAGACCAGGGTAACTGATCGAAGGGAAAGACATGTTTTCTATACCGACGGAAATGACAACCCACGAATGTGTGCGACGTGCAATAAACACTACAACCTGGAAGCCTACTGTCAGTTTCTCACCATGGCGATTGAGGATCGATGGAAAAAGGTGGTGCACTTCAAGGTTTGTTTCAAGTGTCTCGGTGGTGGAAACCGCGCACAAACGTGTCAAAAGAGGTCTCCTTGTGGAATGTTTGATTGTAAGGGTAGTCACCACAAGCTGCTTCACAAAATGCCCGGACGATATGCCCCAGAACCTCCGAAGGCAAGGAAATACGCAACTCATACTTCATCGGTCAATGTCCTCCTTGGCCTGGTTCCCGTCCGCCTCATTGGTCCTGATAGCGCAATCGAGACGTACGCCCCTTTGGACAGTGGCTCAGATACAAGGTTTAATAACCACGATGTAATAGACAGGCTCGCACTAAGGGCACACCCCAATCCGTTATGACCAGTAGTACAATAAGCGGTTTATCCAACATCCAGAGCCAATGCACCAGCCCAAAGGTTGCAGCTCTAGATGGAACCCAGAGCATCCATATAGACAAAACATTTTCAGTTTCTCAATTGCCCCTGTCAGTGCCAAAAATTTCTGTGACTACCGAAGTCGAAAAATGTTCACACATGAAAGACATCCCGTTCAGAGAAACCAAGTCAAGAGAAGTGAATATACTGATTGGTTGTGATGTTTCAGAAGCGCATTGGTCGTTGGAACAACGGATTGTTGGCCCTAAGCAACCATATGCTGTACGACCATCACTGGGCTGGGTGATGTTTGGGCCCTCGAGAAACCTACTAAAACACNCACCAGCCCAAAGGTTGCAGCTCTAGATGGAACCCAGAGCATCCATATAGACAAAACATTTTCAGTTTCTCAATTGCCCCTGTCAGCGCCGGGCACTTCTGCGGTCGCCGTAGCCAATGCAACCGACAGCATCAACATGGAAAAGACGTTCTCAGTTCCTCACTTACCACTGTCAGCGCCGGAAGGTTCTGTGGACACCAAAGACGATAAATGGACACACATGAGTAACATCCCGCCCACAGAAACCAAGTCGAGAGCGGTGAATGTACTGATTGGTTGTGATGTATCAGAAGCGCATTATTCATTGGAACAACGACCGAGTGGATCAATGACGCAGCGCGTGTTACTGGTGGACGAAATACGTTTTATGCAGGATAAAGAATTACACTACTGTGTGACAACGAAAAGTGTGCAACCGCTAGACGATCGTACAGATGTGATCAGTGCATTTACGCTCCCTGCTGATGGGCATCTAGAGGTGCCGATGACGTGGAAAGTAAGCAAGTTCGAACTACCAAACAGTTATGCAAGTGTAGGAACAGGACCGCAAGATTCGAGGAGACCGTTTGTCAGTCATCCCATTTTACTTCAAGCATACAGAGGGATCCTTGAACACCGGAAGGACAGCGGCCGGCTTGAGTTTAGTTGTACATACGTAAGAACCGATACCTGTTCGTATCTATATAATCGTCCTAAACATAACCAATCGAAACCAGGCAAGGTCCGAACTGGAATTGGAACAGAAAGCAGACAAAGAACCGAGGGTCCCGAATCGAGAGTTTCCTTCATTCAAGACGTAGCGTGGTCGTGGAAATGTCGTCGGTGTACAGGTTAGGAGAGCCATGGTTATAGGGTATCTTGGGGGGACAATCCGGTGTACGAATTTGTCGGGCGGTGTGAGACGCTTTTTTGTATGATTTGAAATTACGTACACCAGACCTACCTTTACTCGGTTCACAACCCAAGAATTCAGGTTTGGCCCTAAACAACTCCCAGTTTATTGACCTTTGCCAACCGGATCGGAACTTGCTACGTTCCCCCTCCATGAACAATTTGTTTGTACTTTTCCGTATTTCCTTTGTGATTACATAACCGCCCCACATAACAACTCCCGGTATTAATCATCACAACCCGTTCTTCGCGATATATTATCTACTGTCCACATGGAAACCGTTTGGTACTGATTGTCGTGACCCCTTCCTCGTCCAACTGGTTACCGTAATCTTTTATCTCCACCCCACACGGAAACTTAGTCGTGGTAACTGTCGTCCTATTCTCGTATTATACTATTGCAACCCTTCATGGAACTTTGTCGTAGTAACTGTCGTAACTCGTTCCGTGCTTAATTCATTATCGGTTTCAACTATCTCCTTCCGGTATAGAAACAGCCGCTTATTATTGTGGTCACCATTTCATCACCCACCCGCTATGTTTACTCTACCGTCTTCACCGTTCATCCCATTTCACACCCAGTTGTTTCTTGACCCACATGCTACTGCCCGCCCTTGTGTGTTTAACCGTCCCGGACACCCTCCTCGCGTTCGTTGTCTATTCTCTCAATTACACCGTGATTATGGTTGCCGTCTGTGACGCCCCCACCGACTTTGATGTCACTTCGCTTTCCCATCCCTCTGATTGGTCCTCGCCGCCCCTTAAATAGCGCTGTCTCTATATCCACATTGCATTCCTTCTCTGATTTCCAAGAGAGTGTTTTCCTGGCACGTTTGCTTTTGTCGTATTGAACCGATAGTTCTGCCCAGACCGAGTTGCCCCTAATTTGAGGTATGTTGTTGTATTTACATTGATTCATGAGCCGTTATGCAGTACACGTAGATTTCCTAGCCTTGTGTTCTGACGCGAATTCGGGGTTTCGGTATCTTCCAGTCACTATATCATCGGACATCAATCCGGTACAGTACTCATTGCAGTAAAATATATTCCGATAGAATTTTAATCCGTAATCGCTCCGGGGTATACTCACTTGGTTACACTCAATCTCATATAGCTCTAATCGCCTGTCTACTGATTCCTAGTCAAGTGTTTGTTTTGTGTTTTGTTTGTTGTTTATTTTCCGTGACCCTTTTTGTTGCTATCCAATGTGCAGTGACTTAACAACTGTACTTTCGAAACTTTCTGCTTCCAGGTTCGACCAACCGGTTAAACATGTTATTTGCCTGATCCATGTAACGTGGTCCTCGCGTGACAGAAAATGTACTTTCCATAGTATCACATTGGAGTGTCGTCCGTTTATCAGTTTTCTGAGCAAGCAATTATCCCGTCGTATCTCGAATTTCGCCGCGTACTATACACTCTTGCGACGGACTGTGTAATGGGTTCTTTTCTGTTAAGAGTGAGAGGTCTCACGCGTTCGTATGTCATCCAAAGTGATGCAAATGTGGTCTTGATTAATTGCACATCAGTTTACACGAATTACTTCATTATCGGTGTGTTAGAATCACGTTGGTTTACAATCGAACCAGAACATTTTTCTTATTTCATTTCGTTTTATTTTACTTCCTTTTTATTGAGTATACGAAAAAACACCATTTTCAGGAAGGGGGCTGACATTTAACACACGCAGTGGGGAAAGTTAGGCGGTGTCGATGGGATTCGAACACACATCCCCGGGGTGTTCATTTGTTGACATTACCACCGGATCACCACCGCCATCCACATGAACAATAACAATTTGCGCAAATCCTCTCCAGTTTCCACAACCTCTAACTTCAAACCGGAAATCAGAAATAATTTAATTATTTTAGGAAATTTAAATTATCACATTGCTTTATTGCAAAAATGTCATTCATTCCAGATCGTAGGCGCAAACACAAGCATATGTATTTTAAGACTCCTTGTGACAATTTCATGTATGTGAAGATTGTGTGGTTGTTTTACACTTGTGAGTATATTCGTTTTTAATTACCAAGAGTTTATTCGATTTAACCAATTCCGGGAGTTCGATACGTATCAAAATTTCATCCGTCGGTGAGAGATTCCGACAATGCGTACAATTCGTGTGCGACGAATACACATTTCATTCTTTGGATCGGTTCTTACTCGTTCTGACAGCTGCCTATTGATAATCTGGAGAAAGTTCAATACGTCAACACGAATAAATCCCCAAACAGTTTTACGAACACCGTAAAACCATCCTCGGATACGAACACCATAGGTTTCATTTATTTGTTTCTTTCCTTCTACCGCAAGTTCTTCTAAAGTAGAAAGGTAATTTTGGTCTCAACCATGTTCATGTGTATTTTGAACTAACTTTCCTCGATGGTTGAAGGTGAAGGGTATACGTTAGTTTTTTTCAGCTTTTACAACCATTAGCTATGCACTCGCTTGCACCGATTTTATTTGCTGTCTTCAGGCTGCCCATTTCAATGAAGGGATGAAGGAAGATAGGAGTGTTGAGAGCAGAGTTAAATATGAGACAGAGTATTCATATTCATAAAGTGTAAAGGTACGTGCGTCCGTGTTTGCGACACTCAGTCATACAATTCGGTGTCCCTAACCGCCGGTTACCATGAGTTCAGGGTCCCCATTCAGGTAACCTAACGCAACCTGTATGACTGAGTCTGCTGGTTAGTGTTTTTATACCAACATGCCAGGTCCTCCTTTATCAATCTGTAACCTTTTTCCATCCACTATTTGGCGAAACGCACAATACATATCGCAACCGATGCAGTCAATTAGGTAGAACACTTTCTCCACTCGATGGTCACTAATACCTGAAATTCTGCGTTTGACCTCAGCATTGTTTGCCTCGTGCAGTGCTGATTCCGTGATGGCCAAGTCTCGGCCCCTTACGAACAGCAAGATGTCATGGAAAGTACTCCAGTGGGAGAGGTAAGTAAATAATCAACCTAAATGGTTTATCAGTGCTGAAACCATTCAGTATGACTCCAGGAAGGTAGGGTTCATCCTTTGGCTAACTACCAACGCAATGCAAGTTCGTTGGATGTGGATTTAATTGCTTTTAGTCTATTCGACAAGATGCGTTCAGACGGTCTCCAAAAACGTATATCATGCAATAGATTGCCAAATCGAAGCACTTCAATGGAGATGAGCAGATTGAACTGATTTAAAATATGTATTTTATTTGGTTATCCATCACTATATTTATGTCAACCATTGGTACACACACACATATATATATATATATATATATATATATATATCGGTTTCCGATGTCAACTAATTCGTTGGTCACGGCGACACAATGCGTGTAGTTTATGCGAATTTCATGAACTGTACACTTTGTCATTGGATACGTCGGATGGTTGGATTGCACACAGATCACGGATTACGAATCACCTATTAGGAATCACGGAGGCTACGGAAACAGTGAAGCCCACTGGCACTTGCACGACGGTATCCCACGTAACCGAAACACAAGGAAGTGGTAGCAGTTCTTTTATTGCTAGAAATCAGGGGGATTAAATAACATGTATGACAGAAGTTTATTGGTTATCCAGGTAATAATGACGTCGTACGGCCTCCGATTGGTCGGTACAATTGTCTTTCGGTTCGTTGTCCAGAAGCTATAATGCGTAGGTACTTTGTTATCGTCATCTGGGTAGTCTAAGTCATCACAGTTGTGCAGGGACTGAAACCTGTCGCCTGGTGATTTGCGTCATGCCGTAAGCTAGGATTACCGCAATACGTCAGGATAGTTTTGTGTTATTTTATTAAGGTATAATCCAGGTTATCATACTCCCAAAGAGCCTGTTTCTTAACCATATCCGTATATCTTGTATTCAATGTACACAAATCAATTGCTCGAACTAAATAATTGGTAATTTCGCATTTTAATGAATACTATGAATGAATGCCATCATTGACCATTGAAACTCGAGAGTTGTCTACTCACGGTGCAATACAACATGTTGAGAATACAGTTCATCAGACTGTCTGAGGTAGTCCTAAACGAAAATGTAGCTTGTCGGTGGTAAATATCATGTTCGCAACTCACATCCGGAATGACAAGTAGCCTGAGCTCCGGGGACACAGTGTTTGGTTGGTTATTGCGGCTAGGAAAACCAAGACCTGGAACAAGGAATTGAGCACCACACACAGTCACTAATTGGTTGGGTAAAGTAGCCAGTTGGTGGCCAGGAAAACCCTGATCAGTGGTACCCCGTGAGTACCGTAATGTTTACTGCTTTTCCTTTGCTTCAGCTCTCTTTCATTTGGTTGTACAAGTAAGGTGCGTAGGCCGTAAAGAAATCCCGAAGTATTTGTTTACGCAATCACCTTTTCAAAGCATTTATTACTTCTTGTCCACCGAAATCTTTATATCCCTGAACAGATGCGCATTGTGCTTCCTTAACATCTCTAATCCGAGAGTTGCGTTTTGTATTACTGATCATTACTTCATAATAAAAAGATTTTGATTTATTCGATATAGCTATGAAATATATTCCTTAGGACGGGATGACAAGATCCTTAGTTTTTGATTGAAAAATGAAGTTTATCAAGTCCGTTACATTTTGGTTTCGTTCATGGTGCTCGGCGAACTGAGTGTTTCGATCGGAAACACTGTCACATTGAACAGTCGATATAAACTAGACGAGTTTTCTACTCGTGTACAATGGTATACGAGAGTGCAACAGGATGCGATTCGTTTGTCTAGTTAAAGTTTTGCTTCGTTTTAATGAGAAAACTGAATTCTATCTGAAACGACTTTTTCACCCATGTCACATGTTGATGATGTGAATGAACTTGGGGGTGTGTTGTATCGTTCGAATGTATTTTTCCGTTTTTAAAGAAAGGATAGAAATTGCACACATTGTTAGTTCCCCGTTGGATCGATTCGAACATCTACAGACTGAAAATCGCACGTGCAGGACGCGCCAGCAGTTTAAATGAAACGATCATACTTTCTATCCACACGACGAGTGATCAGTTCATCAAGCTATCTGGCAATCTACCAGTCTGTATAAATTTGCAGATGCATTGCAGATGCGTTCCAGTCAGGCTTTGATTCCGTTGAATTGATTTTACCGTGCACTTTCGGTCGGGACCAGTTGTTGTTGTTGCACTCGAGCGAAAAGGGAAACACCAAATGAAGTCATCAGTCAATCAATCCAGAAGATCAACCAACCCATTCAACAGTTTGGACCCCCGTGTAGTTTGGTCGTAACATTACTTTATGTTGTATTGTTTGGCGCCACATGATTGTGTGTTGTTCTATTGCACCAACGGAGATTTTCGGGCAGCTATACAAAAAAAAAAA